GTAGTCTGGATTGTGGATAGAAAAACTTGACTATCAGCTTCCACGTCTGCATAGGACAAGAGATCATTCCAGTTAATTCCCTTAATTGCATTTTCAAAATAGCTTAATTCACTCTTAGGTATTCTTAGTTGATCAGGCTTTCTAACAGTAGAGAGGTTAAACCTGCTCTTAGACAGCTTTCTGGCTATAAGTGTCAGATTATGATCAGATAGCCCAGTAACCATATTGAATGATTTAGTCACTCTCTCTGGTTTATTACTGAACACCAAATCAATCTGTGTTTTAGAGCAACAAGTCACCCTGGTTGGCCCTTTAACTAGCTGTGTAAGGTCAAAGGTATTAGTGATCCGTTTGAGGGTTTTCCTACAACACTTGTCTTCATAATTAATGTTAAAATCTCCCATTAAGATGACCTCTTTCCCAAAATCACATTCCCTAAGCATGTTATTAAACTGATCAAAAAACACACTTTTGGTGGAAGGTGGCCTATACATTCCAATGAGGGTAAAAGACATTTGGGGAGACAGTGTAATGTTCAGGCCAATACATTCTAGTTCATTATCACATGACCACTCAATTTGTTTACATCGGTTGGTGTGGATGTTGCCGGTTGGTGTAGTAGTTTCACTCCTGTGCCTTGCTCATTGATCGTCCGTGCAGTGGCAAATTCAGGTCTCCTTAACTCAAGCCTGGTAGTAGAATGCGCTTACGTCCTTGACTCTTCCATCTAATTCGTCCTTTAATTCTACAGGGATCCATCGCTCCCATGTTGACATTGCTGAGATGGCCTATTTTATTCTCTTGTCCAAGAGAGCGAGGTGCACTTCATAGCCCTCTAAATTGGCACTTTCCACAGGTACATCAACCGCTTTATCATTGGCTTTTTCTGCTTCCAGGATTGCCACAAAAAGTTCACTCCTTCCATACCTCGACCACAGGTTTGTTTGAACAATCTCTTATTTCCGCCAACTTTGTTTCACCTTCATTTACAGATCTATCAATGTCAGCCTCTTGCTGTTCATTAAGACCTGGTTCCTTATCCTCAGTCATGTCAGCCTCCAGTCCAATCCTGTAGTCATCGTTGGCATCGAGCATCTTTCTGAAACAATCTGAAAGCTTAGCGAATTCCTCCTTTAACTCCACTTGAAGCATGCTGCCTGCTCCTCTTGAAATGAAGTTGGCTTGTCTGGTGAAGCTGCTTTTTGCAGTGGTCCTCTCCTTTTTGAGCTGCTGGACCGACTTCCCCAGGACATCTTCCGCCATCTTGACTTCCTCTGCGTCAACAGCTTATTTCTGGATCTGAAGCCGTTTATCCTCAGGGCCAGGCCACTCCGCGTGATTTACAACTGTCAAGTCCTCCTCTTGTTCACCATCCAAAGGACACAGGGACAACTCAAATTTCCGAATCAATCTTTTATTTTATTTTTTTGCTTTCAGTTGATTGGTCTGTCCAGTAAATTAGCCAGTAAATTAGGTTTTAAACCTTTAAAGACAGAACAAAAAGTTACCATTTTAATTAAACATTTTAATGAACTTAAATTAGTTTAAACATTTAAATAAACATTCTAAATAACTTAAATGAATTAACCATTTAAGCCTTTTACCATTGGCGTCTTTGGACTGAACCTGTGAGTGACTTGGAGTCTTCTCTCTGAAGTTTGCTCTTCTGAATGACTGAGCCCCTCCATGCCTTCACAGGTGCTCCAAATCAGTGAAAATGATTGATCAGGTGACAAGCAGCCGGTTTGCTGCTGCTGGTGCACTCTGGGAAGTGTAGTTCTTTGACTCACTCCTGAGATTCAGCTCAACACCAACCATCTGAAAAGACTTGAACTGCCTCACATCCATGCGTGAAATACCTCACATACATAAGCAAAGGCAATATGGTTCACCTTTATCTAAGAGCTTTTACTGTAACTTCACAGTGGGATCATTTCAGCAGTACCTCATACCATAACCTTTTCTAAGTTAGGAAGACAGAGTGTTGACTGCATGGTTCATGGTGCAACCTTGTGTTACTGTGGTCCGTGAATGTAACATCACTCCACTTAAAACCGCACAAGACTCGTTATTGAGAAAGTATTTTTCAAAGGGATAAGAAGTCTCAGATATGTGTAATGGTTGGTTAGGGTCCTGTTTTTTTTTTATGGTCGATATGGTCAGCAGGTGATAGGATGTGTAACACGGACCTCTATTGTTTAAACTAGGAAGTGCAATTAAGCAGGCTGAGGAGCACTGGTAATTGTAATTCATTGTTAGAACTGTGTGTGGCAGTAGAGCACCGCACCCCGATCAGTGTTTACAAATAGAGGGTAAGAAGAGAGAATAGTGAAAAAGGGGGACGTGTAACATTTCGTATTCCTTTGTTGTGTTCCCAAACCAACATATACCAACTGAAGGGACCAAATAAAAAAATGACAATTTTGGGGAAATTTAAAGAAGAAAAATATGACAGGAATTGTTCCATATATTTCCTAATATATTTCACAACGGCAGCATAACCTTGAGGATGTTGCATTCCACATCCCAGCTCTCCATTTAAATGTTCAGAGAGTATATAATGGTCACCTTACCTTCCAATGATATGTAATTAATGGTTTTACTTTTCTTAAACATAGAACTGTCCTTCAGTGTATAGCGACAACTTCATTCTACTCCAAATGTGTAATTCAAACAACTTACCAGCTAAGAAACTTTGAAGAGAAGCGTAAAAAACAATCAATTGATTCACACCTCATATTTGAATGCACTATCTGTAAGTCGCTCTGGGTAAGAGTGTGTGCTAATTGACTAAAAGGTACATTTTTAATGCTTGTACAGTTAATATATTATTCACAGGTATATATTAAACAAAACCCTGAATAACCCGTCTGTTTATCTTGGAAATACTAACAGGTGGTACATAGTCTGTCATAAAAGCTCAAAACACTGCAATAATGAAGCTGTGTCCTTACTCTGAAACAAGCTTCTATTCTCCTTACATGTAATTCATGACAACTATATCTGACAGATGGTTCAAAAAGTGCTTGCTGGTGTATTCCTGATCACAGCAAAGCATATGTAGAAGAATAGAAGCTCCATGGCCCTGTTGTGCATTTAAAACCTCCCTTTCCTTCGCACATTTCAAACAGCGCACTCCGCCTATTGAGAATCAACTGTTTCATCAACCATCAAGTTCAAATGTTTTGATTTCTGTGAATTACTTTTTTTGTCTGACAAGAGATCACGCAGACATAACAGTACTTTAACTGAAACAATTAAAAACGATAATTCTAAAGACCAACGGTTTCCCCATCAAAATAATGTATTTAACAGAATAGATATCAAACAGCAGCACATGGATTGAAGAAGAAACACAGTCAAGAAGACGAACATGAAAAAAGTAAACAAAATAAACATACCTTAACTGTCATTTTAACTCTATTGATTAAATAATTGCACAAAAAAGCCCAACACTAGTTGGTAATACAATGACAAAAAAAGCAAGGATTAACATACTCTGGGGAGGTTTCTCTGACACAGATTAAGCCTAGTCCAGAACCAAAAATCATTCTCAATTGGGAATTTCCATTGAAAGTGCCTTTTCGTCCAGGACAGGCTTAATCTGGGTCCAGAAAACCAACCCATTATGTGCTATATGATTCATTTGGTTACTTACCACTGCATAAATTGTGTTGTGCTGATAGGAAAAGTGTGTGTGTTGTTGTGTGAAGACAATATTATACAGTTTATTCCAAGTGATGAAAGCATACATGTATGTTTGGGTTTCCGTTGGACATTCTAGAAGTGGTTTAAAAAGTTACACCATTTCGATACAAATTTCTCTAACAAAACATCAAAGCAAAATGTAAGTACAAACCAAAAAACAACTATCCAAAGTCCTTTTACAGACCTTTTTTTTGGTATACATTTCCATGAAACACCATTGAGGAATGAGGCATTTCAATGTATACATCACTGAGAGCAAAATCTCTCTATCAACTCAATCAAATCAAATAAATGTATCATGGGGTGTCTTTCTCTCCTTGTCTCCTTTACTCTATACCTACAGATAGGGAAAAACCTGGATTGGTTCCTACTCTATTGCCTTGTCCCTTTCCAGTCATTTCATATCAGTGCTTATGAAGGGAAGGAGACAAGGGAAGGAAGCTATTTTAGACTTTTGAGACACAGGCCTTACCTCCATCCTCTCCTCTCCCCCCAACAACACATTTACATTTACATTTTAGTCATTTAGCAGACCCTCATCTTCACCCATCGCAATCCCAGAGTCAGAAATCATGGACAAAGCATTTAAAGGTCCAATGAAACCATTTTTATCTCAATATCAAATCATTTCTGATTAACAATTAAGTACCTTACTGTGATAGTTTCCAAATACAATTGTCAAAAATAAACAAAAATAACTTCTTAAGAAAGAGCAATTTAAAAAAAAAAATGTTTTGCTAGGACTGTCTGGGAGTGGTCTGAGTGGGGAGGGGAAAACTAGCTGGCAGAGAGGTTTGAAACTATCTTTCTTATTTGTCCATTATGATTTCACCAGGCAGGCCAAACTCCATCCCACCAAAACAGGCTGAAATTTCAGGCGGTATTTTCAAACAGCTTTTACGCTAAATGGGCATTATCATCATTTTGACAATTTCACAGTATTATTCCATCCTCATAGTGTGGAAATATATATAAAACACAGGAAAAGGGCATGTTTTTGACTGCACTGGGGCTTTAACGAAAGCGACGCAAAATAACATTACATTGAGAACCAAGATAACGTACGATCATGCCCCCTGGTGGTCTCTGACAATCCTAATCCAAACAAGCATAAACAAATAGAAGACAAATAAACAAGCCAAACAAATCGATTCATAAATGAACACATAAATTAAGCAAAAAGAGTCCTGTTTTTGTCCAGGCCTCTCTGTGGGTGTTAACACAATCATCCTTCTTATGATAATCGGAAACATGCACTCCTGTTCTTCCCATCTGGACACAATAACCAGACTCTAGAGCACACAGCTCTCAGTGCAGTCCGTAGTGCTGTCATCGGCCGAACGCCTCTTCAGTTCCCGGCCCTCTTTTTGGTGTAGGTCCGCCTGGCTCCCCTGTCCCCTGTGCCGAGGCTCCTGATGCTGGGTGTCTGCCGACCCGTGGCCCAGGCTTCGTTCAGCCTCTACCTGGAGGTAGGCCCGGACGCGGTGGTGTTGCGCCACGCTGCCGCTGAAGTCAATGACGCGGCACTCGTAAGTGCCCTCGTCCGACCGCTTGATGCTGGAGAGGCGAAGCTTGTGGGAGATGTTGCTCCCGGCCACTTTTACCACCTGTGGCAGAAGATAATGTACAGTGAGGAAAAAAAGTATTTAGTCAGCCACCAATTGTGCAAGTTCTCCCACTTAAAAAGATGAGAGAGGCCTGTAATTTTCATCATAGGTACATGTCAACTATGAAAGACAAAATGAGAAAAAAAAATATCCAGAAAATCACATTGTAGCATTTTTTATGAATTTATTTGCAAATTATGGTGGAAAATAAGTATTTGGTCAATAACAAAAGTTTCTCAATACTTTGTTATATACCCTTTGTTGGCAATGACACAGGTCAAACGTTTTCTGTAAGTCTTCACAAGGTTTTCACACACTGTTGCTGGTATTTTGGCCCATTCCTCCATGCAGATCTCCTCTAGAGCAGTGATGTTTTGGGGCTGTCGCTGGGCAACACAGACTTTCAACTCCCTTTAAAGATTTTCTATGGGGTTGAGATCTGGAGACTGGCTAGGCCACTCCAGGACCTTGAAATGCTTCTTACGAAGCCACTCCTTCGTTGCCCGGGCGGTCTGTTTGGGATCATTGTCATGCTGAAAGACCCAGCAATGTTTCATCTTCAATGCCCTTGCTGATGGAAGGAGGTTTTCACTCAAAATCTCACAATACATGGCCCCATTCATTATTTCCTTTACACGGATCAGTCGTCCTGTTCCCTTTGCAGAAAAACAACCCCAAAGTATGATGTTTCCACCCCCATGCTTCACAGTAGGTATGGTGTTCTTTGGATGCACCTCAGCATTCTTTGTCCTCCAAACACGACGAGTTGAGTTTTTACCAAAAAGTTATATTTTGGTTTCATCTGACCATATGACATTCTCCCAATCCTCTTCTGGATCATCCACATGCACTCTAGCTAACTTCAGACGGGCCTGGACATGTACTGGCTTAAGCAGGAGGACACTGCAGGATTTGAGTCCCTGGCGGCGTAGTGTGTTACTGATGGTAGGCTTTGTTATTTTGGTCCCAGCTCTCTGCAGGTCATTCACTATGTCCCTCCGTGTGGTTCTGGGAATTTTGCTCACCGTTCTTGTGATCATTTTGACCCCACGGGGTGAGATCTTGCGTGGAGCCCCAGATCGAGGGAGATTATCAGTGGTCTTGTATGTCTTCCATTTCCTAATAATTGCTCCCACAGTTGATTTCATCAAACCAAGCTGCTTACCTATTGCAGATTCAGTCTTCCCAGCCTGGTGAAGGTCTACAATTTTGTTGCTGGTGTCCTTTGACAGCTCTTTGGTCTTGGCCATAGTGGAGTTTCGAGTGTGACTGTTTGAGGTTGTGGACAGGTGTCTTTTATACTGATAACAAGTTCAAACAGGTGCCATTAATACAGGTAACGAGTGGAGGACAGAGGAGCCTCTTAAAGAAGAAGTTACAGGTCTGTGAGAGCCAGAGATCTTGCTTGTTTGTAGGTGACCAAATACTTATTTTCCACCATAATTTGCAAATAAATTCATTAAAAATCCTACAATGTGATTTTCCTGATTTTTTTTTCTCATTTTGTCTGTCATAGTTGACGTGTACCTATGATGAAAATTACAGGCCTCTCTCATCTTTTTAAGTGGGAGAACTTGCACAATTGGTGGCTGACTAAATACTTTTTTTCCCCCACTGTATTTGTAAATCATAAGCGTATTAATCATATTCCTCAGTATCAATAGTATGTAAGTTGACAATGAGTTAATCATGTTTAGCAACACCAATTTAGTTTCCAGTGCAGTACTGTACACTGATGTGTCTACTCACACTTATTTTGGTGGCATCTTTAGACATCTCCATGGGAACCACCTATAAGGAATTGATGGAAAGAAGTCAGGCATATGGCTGAAATAACATTAGCAAGTGACATACAGTATCAGTATAGATAAGAATCAAATATTACTTGAAATATGTCGACACACTTTCAAATATGTTACACGTCCGATCATCAACAAATGAAAATGTGTTAAAGTCCACCACCTGAAAATGGGATGTAGTTCTGTGTACATATTTTAGCTTTCACACATCAGCAATTCAAAACCTTTAGCACTGTGATCAAATAAACTATTTCCTATCCACACTGGGTAGCCTAATATCTTGGTTGTTGTTATGTCATAGCATGAGGAGGGGTGTTGTACAAAACAGCAATTGGATCGTCTCTAACCAATCAGATTATCAAAACCAATGACACATTTTCAAACCGCTGCTTTACATACGTGTGTTCTGGCTCTGGCCTAACCCATCCGGAGCAAGGAGTCTGGAAAGCCCGGCAAGTTATGTCACTGGGTAGCCTAATATCTTGGTTGATGTTCTGTTATTGGGTAGCTAATTACATTTACATTTTAGTCATTTAGCAGACGCTCTTATCCAGAGCAACTTACATGAGCAATTAGGGTTAAGTGCCTTGCTTAACGGCACATCAAAATATTTTTCACCTAGTCGGCTCGCCGATTAGAACCAGTGACCTTTCGGTTACTGGCACAACGCTCTTACCCACTAAGCTACCTGCCGCCCAGGTATCTTGGTTGTTATGTCACTGGATAGCCTTATATCTTGATTGTTATGTCACTGGGTAGCCTAATAGCTTGGTTGTTTTTATGTCACAGGGTAGCCTAAGATCTTGTTTTTTGTTATGTCACTGGGTAGCCTAATATCTTGGTTGTTTTTATGTCACTGCGTAGCCTAAGATCTTGTTTTTTGTTATGTCACTGGGTAGCCTAATATCTTGGTTGCTGTTGCACTGGGTAGCCTAATTTCTTGGTTGTTGTTGTTTCCACTAGCTAGCTATTTCGGGGTGTCGTGTGAAGAAGACATCTGGGAAAGTTGGGGAGGGGAAGGAATTATTTTGGGGCATAGGTATGCATTATGCATCGAACAGAGATGTGGAAAATCTAATTCTTCCTTAGTGCCAATTATAGTGTCTAGCACCACAGCAGGAGCTCGAGTTTCCCTAAGTTAGAGAAGTCAACCTGCTCCCACAGTGCTAGAAAAATGCTAATCAGCAATTATCTATTCTTTCCCGTGCCAAGGGCTACAGCTAATGTATTTCCTCTGCCTGCTGTATTGTAGGCTAATGTGGATTCAGTCGATTCAGTTCTGTCCACAGTAATGTACATTATCTCTTTGTATGGCAATAGTGCGTTAACAAAGTCTATGTGGGCTTAATTAATGTTTTTTGCATGATGATGATAATCAGATACAGGGTTCCTCTTTTAAGAAACAAGCACATAAGTCAAGTGAATATTGCATTGACCTGTAAGGGAGGAGGTTATACACATGCCGACACGCGTATCTCAAGTTAGGATTTAGGGCTCCATTTGTAACCTTTCAACAGACAAACCAGGGTTGACAGTTACTAATCTCTTAGTGGGTGGGTCTATATTGTTTCATTGTTCTCATGAAGTCCTGAGCAAACACAAACACTGCTACTCTAAGTCGAACAGAATCACAGACAGTTACTCGGATTCAATAACTCATAGGTGTCACCCCTGGCCAATAACATTATCCCTTAAATAACATTCTCCCTGCGACCATAACGTTTCTCTCAGCGTCTCACCTGATTGGTGGTCCAGGCGGGTTTCTCTGACCAGTCTCTGTGGTTCTTCATGTACCACCACTGGATCTCCAAGGAGTAGGAGGGGCCCGCCCCCCGGAACGAACAGGCCATCTCCACGTCCTGACCACTCTGCGTCATGATGTCATGAGGAACCTCCGTGAAGACAGCTGAGTGGAGAGAGAGAGAGAGCATAGGGAAGAGTATTTATACACCTGAAAAGTGACCGACCAATCAAGCAGTCAAGCAATCAATGAAACAAATTACTCTAACATCTGTAAAATCTGTAACTTTCCTTCCCAGTGAAGAAACCCACCCCCAAAGTGTACAAACAAGTGCAGGGGTACCACTGGAAATAAAGGTTATAGATCACAGGTTAAAAATCCTAATTTTCTCCAGCGAAGGGCACTTTGGGGATCTTAGAGAGGATTTTCTTGTATGCTGTTGGGAGATGTGTCTTTAAGAAAGGGAGATATGTTTTGTGTGTCTTAGTTCATTCGTTTAGACATTGGAAATATATCAGACAAATTTAACTTTACCGGATAATCTAATTACATTTTTGAATCATGCTTCTTATGGATGTTGTCCTTCAGGTAATGAGAAGCATGAGTACAAAATGTCTGTTAAATGTTGCCAAACATTTTGCTACAGAAAATGAAAAAGAGTGTTTCTTATTGGACAAGTCCAGGTAGTCCCTCCATATTGCAGTCCATTTTCTTCCATTTGGTGCCTAATGAATAGGACCCAGCTCTGCTGACTCAGACAACGTCATGTGTGGGCTTTTTTTTTTTTTTTCCTAATCCTTCAGAGGGCTAAAGTAGCCTGGGACATTTCTCAAATGAAGACGTCACTCCCCCATATCCCTTATATATCCCCACACATCTAGCTATTAGGCTAAATCCTCTTACCAGTTCCGTTTAAAACACATTGCTAATTCAAGAGACTAATCCTCCTTTATAACTTCACCACCACAGAGACTTCCTCCACCGAGAGCTTCAGTCTTATAGACAAGTCTATGGAAGATAAAGTAGTCAAGGGTATTTTGTTTAAGCGATGTGCTGTTGTTTAAGATGCACCATCTGCCGACTATTACGAGGATAAAACTTCAGCAAGAAACAACAGGCGGATCAAGATAATTAAGTTGAAGGGCACTTTGGGGATCTTAGAGAGGATTTTCTTGTATGCTGTTGGGAGATGTGTCTTGAAGAAAGGGAGATATGTTTTGTGTGTCTTAGTTCATTCGTTTAGACATTGGAAATATATCAGACAAATTTAACTTTACCGGATAATCTAATTACATTTTTGAATCATGCTTCTTATGGATGTTGTCCTTCAGGTAATGAAAAGCATGAGTACAAAATGTATCATAATAAATAACTACTTCAATTGATATGGATGGTAAGATTGTGAGATGTGTCTTATCTAAAAGATATACTCCTGTGGAAAAGGATGATCGTAGTGTTGTAGGTAACAATGTGTGGTGAAACTAGATGTGTGTTCAGTACATTCAGTTCCTGATCTACAAAGTGTAGAAGCTGAGCCTGAGGTCATGTGGTTGTAGACTCATCACACCCCATTGAGTCTCACGTTTTAGACTGTAAAGGTCTCTCTCTCTAATTTGCTCTCTCTCCTTCTCTTCCGCCATATTGATTGTATATGACTATGTACTTACAGTGATGAATTTTTGTGGGAGTGAGTGCTTTTTCCTTGTATAAGTGGGTCTCTCCTATTTGTTCACTTTATATTCTTGCACAAATGTTGTTTCTCAGTAAACAGACCTTTGCTCTAAGAAAATAATATTTAGCAAAAGGACACAAAAGGAGGACAAAAGCAAAAGGTCCATAAGATAAAAGGTCCATAACCACTGATGCACTTCAAAAGACAAACGCTTTAAGCCTGAGAGGAAAAGATGAGTTCTGATTTCCCTGTCCGTCTGAGTCCATAAAACAGATGAGTGTGAGGGCGCCTCATTTCTGTGGGGTCCATCCCACCAAGATTGTGGGAAGATCTCAATTTCATACTCCTCCTCAATGTTCCCTCTAAAAAATGTTCCGCACTGAGCAAATTTCAGGTCTGCTGAGCGCACACTTAAACTTTGTGAAAATTCTGTGCGACTTCTGGCGTGCGTTTATTGTGAACACTGAAGCTGTACCCGCTTTAAGTTACCATTATAACAGTGGCCAAGTAGGCTACTGTGGCTATTTGATCATAATGTAGGCCTATCAGTGTGGCCTACCATAAAAAACAATGGAGAAGATGCATCCCATAACATTTTAACATGGAAATAGCTGTTCTATCATTCAGCCTACAGTAGCAGCCAATGTGTGGTGTTCAATGTAGGTCTACATTCCATGAGACCTTTGAAAAAAACATGTAGGGATTGACATTAAACTGTTCATCCACTTGTCCTTCAGACAAGGAGGTGACTGAAAATGTTGTGTTGTTTGATGCAAGAAACCACTTCACAAAATAAAATGCATTATTATTCCCATACCATTACTACAGAGAAACAGACAAATTATGCTACACTCTGCCTATCGGCTACATAGCTTATTCAAGCCTTTCTCAAAATACAACACTGCCCCTTTAAGACAGAAAATAAGCTCATTACCTGACTTGCTTTCAAAGATGGCTAAAAAAGCATGTGTTTTGTGCTCTTGTAGGAAGCAACCCCTCCCCCATTACTGACTAGAAATTAGCTATATCTGGGCTAATAACTCACTAACTAGCAAAGAATATGAACAAATGTGCACATGTTGCATTGAAAGTGGCTAATATTGCATCGATTCGATCACAATTCCCACAGTAGAGGAGTATGCAATTGAGATCTTCCCCTTGACGTCAAACCAAACCCTCATGCGTTTATGAAAGAGAAGTGAAGTTTGAACTGTGAAATTATGTTAGCCTGCTGCCGTTAGCTAAGTGGTGTTAGCTAAGTTGCTTGCTAATTAGTATTAGATGAGTTTGCTAATTGGCGCTAGCCATTCAAAAGTATTGCATTACCCATGCAATTAGAACACTACAGATGCTAGTATTATGAAGCTGTAATGACGGTATTTTTTTGTTGCATATATTTTCTGTTCAAACTCAGATTTTGGAGTGCACTTCCCCTTTAACATGCCAGACTCATTTTACATTTACAGACTCAAACTGTATATTTAAAGGTGATTAGAGGGGTGGTAAATCAGGACAGCTGTATTCTCATCCTCATAAATAATCCTCCTTCTGAGAGCCCCTGCTGATCAAATAGACTAGAATATTTAGGCAGAGAGAAGAGAGAGAAGAGAGAGAAGAGAGAGAAGAGAGAGAATAGAGAGAATAGAGAGAAGAGAGAGAAGAGAGAGAAGAGAGAGAAGAGAGAGAAGAGAAAGGCCCAAATGTGTAATTGATATTCCATCAGGCCTGTGGATCTGTGGCACAGCTGGGAGGGAGTTAAAGAAAGAAGGAAAGAGAAAGAGGGGGGTTGAGGACTGACTGACTGAGCTCCCATGAGTCGTGCCCTGGATGCTCCGCTGCTCACGGCCAGGCAGTGTCCTCATTTGTGAGGAAAGAGAGAGGGAAAGGGACAGAGGGAGAGGAGAGAGGAGAGAGGGAAAGATGAGATGCACCCAACAACACTTATGGAGGGCATTGTACAGAACGACTGTATAAAACTGGGTGAAAACTGCTCACACATGAATAAGGGGTGCCTACACACTGGAAATTCTCCAAAGGGTGTATTACACAGAACAGAAAGTGACACTATCATTCACGATCCTCGTCTTTTGAATCATGTGCAGGCAGGCACCTTCCTTTTGAAAACTTGTTTAGTGGGACATCCAAATTCATGTGTAGCCTAAACCCACAATAGGAACAGTGCTTGTGGTAGTCTACTGACAAGAGCGTTTGTTACACAATACAGACATTTGTAGGCTTAGCATATCCATCTAACTAACTGGCTAGAAGCTAAACATTAACACAAATAAACAGGTGAAGGATGGTGGTTGATCGAAAGAGAAGATGAACAATAATGATCATAGTGAAGTTAAGGCAGACACAGTGTATGACACATTTTTAAACAACGAACTACATCTTTGGTTCATGATCACTTTCATATGAGCAGAGAAAGAAAGGCAGTGAATGGAGTTTTGATCGGATTTCGGAAATCAGATATAATTAAATGCATAGAAATAGAATGAATAGAACGGACGTATCATTGACTTGAATGGCGACGCCCGTTCTATTCACTATATTTCTATGCATTTAATTCTATCCGATTACCGAAATCCGATCAGATCACTTTTGAAAAACTGGGCCCTGAAGCTATAGCCTAACAGATAAAACCTTAAAGCAAAGTCATCTCAAGGACAGCACTATGCATGGAGCCCTGTGTGAGGCTTATATTTGGGATTCCACACCGTAGTAGGATGGTCTTATAAGATCCTAAACTTTCAATTCCCCTAGCCCAAAAGAGATGTACTAAAAAGACTAATTCTGCAGACTCAAGCTTTGTCTCTCTATTTCCCCTCCCTCTCGCTCGCTTGCTATCTTTCACTCTCTCATTCTGTGTATCCCTTTCTTGTTCCTTCTCTCTCTCTCTCTCTCTCTCTCTCTCCTCTCTCTCTCTCTCTCTCTCTCTCTCTCTCTCTCCCCCTCTCTCTCTCTCTCTCTCTCTCTCTCTCTCTCTCTCTCTCTCTCTCTCTCTCTCTCTCTCTCTCTCTCTCTCTCTATCTCTCTCTCTCTCCCTCCCTACCCTACAGTTTCAAACTCACACAGAGTTGCTGTCTTCCTCTCAAACAAACCCTCATCGTTCTCTCTCTTGGTTCCCTTCACATTGTGAGCTGTTGCCTCTTCTCAATGTCTCTCTCTCTCTCTCATTCTCCTTCCTCCCATTCTATACCCCCTCACTCCCTCTCCATCATCGCTCTCTCTATATCACCCTCCCACACACACCTCTCTCTCTCTCTCCCTCTCTCTCTGTACAGAGAGTGTACAGCCCCTGTTCCTGCTGTCCTGTCTGGCGTACGGTGATGCTCTCGCACTACCAGTGGCACACTAAAGCTGGGTTTCCCAAACTCCATCCACGTTTTGGTTTTTGCCCCTGCACTACACAGCTGTATATGTGTGTGACTGCAATGTGTGTGTGTTCGGAGGGTTTGTTGATGTTTGTGTGTTTGTATGAATGCGTGCATGTGTCTGCGTTTGTGTAGGTGTGT